GGTATGGGAAAATATGCACATGGTCAACTACATGTGTGAGGAAAAGTTTGAGCAGATTTCAGAGATATAATTCTCGATTTCAGAATACTTCTACCCGAGAACGTAAGTGAACTCTAGAGCTCAGCTGAGGCAACCAAACATATTCCTCCAACTTCGATCGGGAACCCCCTTCACCAATCGAGTCGATTGCAGACCTACGTCGAATTCCTTAGCGATTTTGCCCAGCGCAGGGATATCATCAGGACTGCGAGGAGCGAACGTCGATGTGGTCCCGATAATAGCAACCACTGAATCAGCTCCTCCAAGGTAGTCAACCTGAGCAAGACCATCGGCATGTGAACAACCAAATCTCGCTCATGCCTTTTCCCGTGTGGCATCAACATCAGTAACAAGGCCTTGCTCTGTCTCCGAGTCTGATTGTTTCTGATCAACGCTGACCACCTCTAACCCTGCAAGTTGCATAGCCTTCAAGCAGCTCTTCTGATCGATCCGGGACCACACTACGTATCTAAACCTCGGAGGCTTTCACTCGGGAAGAAGGATGAGCACTTTTACTTCGCATTCGGATGAGCCGCTCGCTGTCGCTTCATAACTGCTAGGAGGACCAAAGTGATAGCCATACCAGTAGCGACTGGGAGGAGACATGGCGAACCCTTGGGGACCTCATTCACGAGTGATGGGATACCTTATACGGAAATAAACCCTATTCAGCGGGAGATGGTAGGGACTCTATATTAGCGAGCACAAAACGACAGGAAAGTTGTCTATATCACCAACTTAGTAGAAGATGCATTATATGAAAATGAATTTAACTAATGAGTATACTATAATTCATAATATGGATCATAATCACAACCCCTTCAAGAGACTCCCTATTGAAACGGTTTAACTGTTATTCGCAGTGTTAGGAATATATGCTCGCTTTCCTCACCTGAGCTCAGGAGTTCCCTCACTAGTTATTCAAGTTCACATACGAATTATACAGAAACCGATGTGTATACCTCGGAATTTTCATATTGTCATCACCAACATATGGAGTTGACCATGTGCATATTTTCCCACAACAGCGATTTCTATTAATGGCCATGAGAAGCCAATATAACGAGAATGCGATGAACTAACTGATGGCCTCCCTATCTCCTCACCTGCGAGCCGAATAGCATCGGCGACTAGGTATCGAGTTAGACGGAGGATCAGA